AGGTGGCAGCTCGTGTGTCCTCACACTGTCTCTGTCCTTGTCGCCCGCAGGTCTGCGGCGGGGGTGGTGGCTGTCCTCGCCTGCCCCAGCTCCTCGGATCTGCGTGGTGGGCAGTGGCCCCGCTGGCTTCTACACGGCTCAGCACATCCTCAAGGTACCACGGTGGGATTTGGCCGCGGGTGATGCTCCCCGAGGGAGGCATCTCGGTGCAGCTTGGCTCTCAGGGGACTTGGGGTGGCTTTGTGGGGTTCCAGCCCTGCTCCAGCAAGGTCTGCATTGTTGGAGTGCTGCCTGGGGCAGCTCAGACCCCACAAGGTCCTCCTGGGCCCCTTTGGCTGGGTAGGTACTGCTGCCCCCATCCCTGCCCTGCCCCTGGGCCATCCACACTGGATCCAGGTTGGCTGCTCTGAGTGGTTTTTCTAGAATCAGATAAGCATCAGAGCTCTGCCTTGCTCAGAGCTGTTGCTACCCAGCAGGGATGTCATTAACCATGTGTTAAAGTGAATGTGTGGGACCTGCTCTTCTCCTTCTCCTCCCCTGGCTGAACTCAGACACGTGGGTGATGCTTTTACCTGCCATCTGCAATCGTCTGTGCTCTGGGCAGTCAGGTCTGTCAGGAAATGAGACCTGAGCACAGAACTGGGCTGCTGGCACCCACTAGGGATGCAGCAGCTTAACCCTGTCATTAAACCGTGCTGTGTTGTCTCTGGTATGTGTTGGAAAATAGCTGTTACTAAGCCTCAGGGACAAATTTCAGGGCTGCTTAATCTCTGGGAAGAGGCTGACTCAAAATCCAAGATAACAAAAGCCTTGCAGCCAAACATCTGTCTAAAGCTCTGACCCTGAGGTGACTTAGCCCAGGGGATCTCAGGGCATGGGCACCTCTGCCAGGGGCTGGCAGACAGTCTGGCAGGTCCACCCCCACCCAGCGTGCTGCACTAGATGTTTCCAGGTGGTGTAGTGGTTCTTTGATCAGCCCCCTGGGTACTGGATAACCACCAGGTTAGTGTGGAAGGAAAGCTGAGGGGTGGGTAGGAGGATGGAGCCCCCACAAGATGCACTTGATGGTAGTTGGGGTCACTCTGTGCTACAGTTTGTGATCTGACCTGTCAGTAGCAGGTACAGCATCATCCTGTGCATGGAAGAGTCTGGAAGAGGCTGTTTCTGGCTACAGGATCTTGTTGCAACCCTCCCTCCTGCCCTGTATTTCCCCAGCAGCAGACAAGCATTCTGTGTCCCTCCTGAGCTGCCAGGCTTCTGTGGCCTTTCTGTCTTTGTCTAACCATGACTTTCTCCTCCCACAGCACCATGGTGGGGCCCAGGTGGACATCTATGAGAAGTTACCTGTACCCTTTGGGCTCGTCCGTTTTGGGGTGGCCCCAGACCACCCCGAGGTGAAGGTTGGTGCTGGCTCCTTCCTCTTGCCTGTGCAGCTGAATGCAATGGTAGTGGTGGGTGCAGGTGAGACAGTCACTGTCCTTTGTTGTGCCTCAGGCTCTCTGTGGTGTGAAACTGTCACAGTGGGAAGGTCCAGATCTCCTTGTCCCCACTGAGTGGGCTGATATGGGGCATCTAGTATCAGGGCTGTGGACAGCAGATCAGAAACAGGGCTTGTGATGAAAAGTGCTGCTCCTGGTGCTGGGCAGCCTGGCCTAGAGAGCAAGGCCAAGAAGCACAGATAGGTTTCTTTGTACCAGGACACTTTATGCCAGCAGGATTTTGCCTGCTCATTGCTGTTCATGTCTGCTCAATCCATACCTGCTCTGAGAACACATAGATCTGTTGTTGGAGGTGATGGAGTTGGGCAGTAGGTGCTCACCTGGGCAAGGAGAAGTTAAACCAGGGATTTCACAGCCATTTTCCTTTGCTGTGGGTGTGAGTTGTACCTGGGGGTGTCTGCTGTGTCTGAGCTGAGGCAGAGGTGGTTGGAGGGGTAGGACACAGGTGGTCCAGACACAGCAGAATCTTCTGATAGTTTCCTCTAATCCCTGGAAATCATCAGGCCAAGATGTCTGGAACCCTTTGGGGTGGGAGAGGAGTGGACATAATGAATGTGGGTTTGGGGCAATGTCTGCAGTACTGGTGATATCCATCCTGTCTCCAGGCTGAGTCTGACTGGAGCTGCAGGGGTAGGAGTGGTGGTTTTGCTGTGTAGCCCCAATCAGTCTGGCTATGGATGCCATCCTGTCCTGCATCCTCTCTTGAGGCATTGGGTTTCAGGAGAGGTTGAGATGAGAGGCTGGCAGAAGGGATCTGGTGGGCAGCACCCTCATGGAAGGTGTTGCTGGGGGTCCCTGGCAAGCCTCACCTTTGGGAAGGGGTTTTCCCCTGTAATGGGTTTTACTCTGAGGGGTTGAAGGCACTGAAAGGGTCCACGTATTTTTCTTTCCACAAAGAATGGTGGAGAGAATGCCAAGTCACAGCTGTGCTTATCTCCCTGCAAGTTATCTTTGGCCGTTGATAGATAAAAGAGTCTCAGAATAACTGACTGGGTGAGGGGGTGAAGCATCTCAAGGCTGGAGGGGAGGGAACAGGGATCTCCTGTCAGCAGCAGGCCTTGGCCCCGGCTGTGGCTTGGATGTAACTCTATGTCTCTGCTCTTGACAGAACGTAATCAACACCTTCACGCAGACTGCGCGCTCGGAGCGCTGTGCCTACTACGGGAACGTCACTGTGGGGAGGGACATCACTGTGGCTGAGCTGCAGCAGGCATACCATGCCGTGGTGCTGGTGGGTACCATGGGCTGCCCCAGCACCCCAGAAATCACAGTGGAGGTCTGCAGGGTTATTCCCCACTGGGATTTCAGGAAGAGGGTTTGGGTGGTGCATTTCTGGGTGCCTTATTACCATGGGAAATTCTTCCCAGATGCTCTGAGGCTTGTCCAAAGCCTTGCTGGGAGCATGTCCATCAAGTGCAGGTCTCTGAAACCTCACTGCAAAGGGCAGTGGTTGGGAAATCTCTTCCTTCTGCTGGGCATTTCAGCCCAGCATGGGTTTGTCCATCCTGCTCAGTCTCCAGCTTTTCATGCTCTGCCTTGGCCTGAGGAGGTCAAATTTGGCTTTGGATCCCAGGGGATGGAGTGGATGAAGCCCCTTGTGCTGTGTTTAGCTCTTATCATAGAATCACAGAATGTTAAGGTGTTGGAATGGACCTTAGAGATCATCCAGTGCCAACCCCCTGCCCTGGGAAGAGACATCTCCTGCCAGACCAGGCTGCTCAAGGCTTTATCCAACCTGGCTTTGAACGCTGCCAGGGTCGGTGCAGCCACAGCCTCCCTGGGCAACCTGTGCCAGTGTCTCACCACCCTCACAGGAAAAACTTCTTCCTAATATCTCATCTAAATTTCCCCTCTTCCAGTTTATACCCATTGCTCCATATCCTATCAGTGCAGTTCCTAACAAACTCTTCCATTGAGTATCCCAGCCCTTGGGAAGGGTTGGCAGCTATGCAGTGACCCTGGGAGCAGCTGGGAGATTTGTGTTTTGGTGTCAAACCCTGCACATAGTGACGTCTCTGACCATGTCTGCTCCCTCCTCAGAGTTATGGTGCTGAAGACAATCGTGTCCTGGGGATTCCAGGGGAGAACCTCTCTGGTGTTTACTCGGCCCGAGCATTCGTGGGCTGGTACAATGGGATGCCTGAGAACCGGGCTGTGAGTACAGCAGTGTGTTTCCCTGCCCTTCCTCCCATCCTGCATCCCAACTCAGGCATTCAGCCCCAGATTAAGTCCTGAAAGGCCTGCAATTGGAAAAGATTAGCAGCAACCATGTTAAATCCTTCTTAGATGGTAGAAATGTGAACAATTTGCACATCAGTGAGAGCGGATTAGCTGGCTCTGTACGTGGCAGCACATTTTGGCTGGGCCAGATGGGAACCTGAAGGGGTGATGCTCTGTGTCCTGAGGAGGCTTTTTGTCTGAAACAGCTTCTGCTCCCAGAGATGCCATCGCAGGAAGAACAGGGAGGGGAGTGGCTGTGTCTACCTGGGGAGGAGGCTGGTGTGGATTTTTCTCCATCTGCATCACCTCTCTTTGGGGGAAAAGAGGGATGGAAGAGAATTTGGGTGTTGGGAGCAGGTCTGAGGGCTGAACATCATGCAGGCTGGGTGGATTTGCTCACAGCTGGGTCTTTCTCTCCCTCTAGCTGAAGCCTGACCTGAGCTGTGAGACAGCACTGATTCTGGGTCATGGCAATGTGGCACTGGATATTGCTCGGATCCTGCTGTCCCCACTGCAACTCCTCAGGGTGAGTGACAGGTGCTCTGCACCATGAAGGCAGCCCAGGGCCCAAATTCCCTCCCTGCTGGGTGGGTGCTGCTTCCCACCCATCTCAGCAAAACCTCAGACTTCTCTGTCTTTGAGATCTTTCCCCAGGGAAGGCTGTTGCCTCTTGGGTGCACCCATGAATTCACAGTCCATAGGGAGTGATCCAAAGCTGCCTCTGTGCCTTGAATTGAATGAGCTCTGGATTGCTCTGCTGGTATTTGATAAGTTGGAAATTGAGCCTCATCCCTTCCTTTTCTATGAGAAGCAAAAGAGAAGCCACTTGCCCTCTTCCACCACCAAACTAGAAGCTTCTCTTGGGGTTTGGTTTCTTTCTCCTATAGCTGAGGGCAGCAGCCTGGTTTCTGCAGGTGGCACTGGGCACACTGATGGCTGGTCCAAGCTAGTAGACCTCTCCCCTATAAACAGCTGGGAGCAGGTGTGCAACAGCTGTTCCATACAGCTGCTGCCCCAGATGTTGGCAGGACAAGACCCTTCCCTCTGGAGAAACACCACGAGGTTTGTTACAGCTGTGCAACAGCTTCCTCTATTAATACCTAAACTAAATTTAAAACAAACAAAACTTGGAGGCACTGCCAACCTGGGGCTACAGCCAGCTGGGAGCTGTGCTGCAAAGGACATGGCACTGGAAATATGTGCCAGGGTGGGCAGGCAGTTTTATGTTAAATATATTGGTCTGGAATGGTTTATCCTGGTTACCTGGTGTCCCTCCCATTGTATTCTCTCTGGAAAATATCTTCTTGCCATCTAGATGCATACACACACATGCTTGAAACAGAACACAGGGTTAGTTGCTGCAAGGTGCCAGTGCCAGGTGAGCCCTGGCTATGCTTGTGCTTGTGCTGGTGGTGCCTGGGGCAGGCAGATGGTGGTTTGAGCTGTGATTTGCAGCAGGTTTCATCCACAGCCTCTATGTCCTGAGCTGGGAAGTCACCCAACAGCATCTGCAGGCATGAGAATTGAGATCACTGGGAGGCTTTGCTCCGTTAGCCCCAAGGTTAGCCTGCCTGGGTGGATCCCCTGGGGCAGTCTCACGGGGTGCTGGCTCGTTACCTCTAGTGCATTATGGCCTCGAAAAGAACATTCGGTGATGAGGGACCAGCTGTGCAAATAGCTCTGTGCAAAGGGACATGACTTGTTTTCTGTCCTCACCCAGGCTCTCTGCATTCACAGCCAGCTTTTCTGCTGATTTTTCACCTTCAGAGGCTGTGCCTTCCCCCCAGCTCCCTCCAGATCTGCCCTCGTCCCACTCTGCCGTCTCTGTTTTGCAGAAGACAGATATCACTGACAGCTCCCTGGCAGCTCTCGCCTGCAGCAAGGTGAAGCGTGTCTGGCTGGTTGGGAGGAGGGGACCTCTCCAAGTCGCTTTCACTATCAAGGTGAGGCTGGGGGTGCTGCAGGGCAGATGTTTCCCAGCGTTGAGCCCCAGACTCCCCGTCCCAGGTGGGGAGAGGTGGTTTGGGGATGGGTGTGGAGCCCAGATATCCTCCTTCCTGCACCCATTTCCTGGCTCCTAGCCCAGACTGCTGGGGAAGGGGGCCTGGGGCTGCTGGATGGCCTCTCTGTGCTGGAGGTAACATCTTCCTGCCTGTAATTCCCAGGAGCTGCGGGAGATGATAAACCTGCCTGGTGCCAGAGCTGTTCTGGACCCTGCTGACTTCACTGGCCTCGAAAATGCTGTTAAAGGTGAGGGAAGTGTGCCACGCTCCTCCAGACAGGGACACCTTGGCAGGAGAGCATCCAGGAGTGACCTGGAGAGGCTCAAAATGTGCATCAGAGAAACTCTTGCCCTGTGTTTAATGCACATTGTGTGCAAGCTCTGTGTGACCATGGTGTGTCTCATCTTCAGAGTGCTGGGAGGCACCAAGACAAGGAAACAGCCTGTTTCTCTGTTTGTGCAGCCAGTTTGCTGCTTGGGAGCTGTGCTTACCCTCTGAGTGATGAGGGCAGAAGCTTCAGGAGGGCTGAGGGAACCTTGCAGAGGAGATCCCAAGGCTGTTGATTTAAGAGCTTCCTGTAGAGCTAAAAAGAAAACACTGAGTTCAAGGGTGTCCAGAGACTTGCTCTTCTCCACAGGCTGCTGCCTCTGAGCACCAGCAAGACAGGAAAATTGCAGACTTTGATTTGTGTGTCCCACTGGCCTCAAGCCTCAGGAGCTCTCCTAGTCACTTTGACTTGCAGTTTGTCATCTCAGAGGCTTCAGACTCCCATCAGCATGACAAACTCCAAACGGACACTCACATACCGACACTGCCTTGACGTGGCCTTGGCTCTGTGCTGTGTCCCAAGGGGCTTTTGCTGATT